ACACACACACACACAGACACTCTAACATATCAATAGGGAGTACATGTTTTTTGCATAAGCGTGTACTCTAGCCCTTTGTGACTGCATTGCTCTGATTGATGACACCAGCATGTTATTAAGAGATCACTAACAGATGTGTGTTGGTTTACACTGTCAAGTGTATGGACAGATACAAAGCAGGATGTCAAGCAAGTGTAATTACTGGTGGAAGATTCTCTTCTACTTTCTATGCATTTGCAGTTGACCTTCAAAATGACTTACATATGGTAGGAATACTGTGATTACAGCACATTACTGTTTTAACGTCTGTCCAAATGTACAATAGACTTTACCCCAAATAACTAGTCCCAGTGTGATATGACTTCCTACGGCCCTCCTTACTGATTTCACATTACTACATTGTTTATTAATTGATTCTCAGTGCTTTTTTAAACTGTTACATATCTTCTAAAATCCAATTGTTCTGATAAATATTTTTAATTAAATGTTGTGTATTTACAAAAGCCGATTTCTATTAAATCAGACACCAACTTTTAGGAAAGGTTTAGTAAAACAATTTCTACGTTATTCTGCAATCTCTTATTCAGTCAGCATCAATATAAAGAGAGTATTTGCTTGATTTCAAAGGTTTAAGGCAGATTGGCTCAAGGAAGAGGAATGAAGTGTGAAAATATATCCCTGGTCATGGCACGTGCTTGTGAAAAATGCTAAAATTAACATTCAATTAAAAATGTCGCTGGATTTGTCTTTTAATGTCATCTATATATTTTCTGCATTTCCCTTAATATAAAATAATTTACATTTGTGAAGGTCCTACACTTTTCCATAGACAGTGTCACCTTCCCGTTAAATGCTAGAATGAAATTAAATGATGTCACCTCAAGGCCTCAGTATCCACCTACCCTTTACATACAAACACACACACAAACACACACACACCCTCACCTGTGTCACCCCAGCCGGTAATGTGACAGTTGCTGGCTTGTTTGAGCACTCTCTCTTTCCTCATGGGCAGACAGGCGGGAAGAACATGACGGCTGAATGACACACACTCTCCTAGCATCTGGCCCACTGCCCCCGGTGACAGACGAACCAAGGCCAAGTCGTAATCATTACTATGGGAGCGGTAGCTTGGGTGGAGGACAATCTGATCGACGCCGTACTCCTCTTCGTATTCCTCAGGGACGAGGGTGTGGTAGTCACCCACTCTAACTTTATACTGCTTGGTGCTGTTTCCATACCTGCAGAGATAAATACAGGGATGGATCAAGAGAGGCCATTAGAGAAAGAGTGAGTGTGTGTGTGTGTGTGTGTGTGAGCAATCCCACGGCTGATACATAAACCATGCGCAATAAAATTACGAGCTCTGGCTGGGGTCATAGTTCATCTAGAGCTTGAAAAAGTACAAGCACTAACACTGAGGACACACAGGTGTTTTGGCTCAGGTCACCTTCCCTTGAAGTATGTATATCATGTTAGAAAATATTACTATTTTATACCCCTTGTTTAAAATGGTCTTGTTGTTTTTAGCAATAATTTTCAACAATGTATATTGTTGGTGTTCCCCCTAAGTCTTATTAATGTTTCATATGCTCAATCAGACGGTCCTAAAAGCTTTTCCCAAGAAACCTATCAGCTACATGGTTTCTATGTATCTCAGCTGTACCCCTTTCTTCAACACAACATTATTGAAGTGCATTTTATACATTCTATCAATTCATTATAAATCATGACTAAGGAAGGTTTACACACTCGCTACACTGCTTCTAGGAAGAGTGAGTATAGGCGAGAATGATAACAAAAAAACTGTCATTGTGTCTGTGTGTTTATGCTTTCAACTGACTCATAGGTTGACATAATTAAGTGTTTCCATGCTTTCAATTTACTTGTTGAAGATGTTTGGCCAAGTGGGAGAGAAGGAGAGGAGAGAGGAGTAGGGTAAGTCAGGGACAAGGGGGAGGAGAGGAGAGAAGGAAGGAGGCCTTTCAATCGAGCCAACTGTCTGTGTCCAGTTACAACTGGTAGAGTGTTTCCGGAAAGATTTCCTGACCTGGGAATGCCACGAAGTTCCTGGCAGAGCGGAGATTGCTGAGCAGTCATTTGCGTACAGTACATACCCACCATGAAGGCGAAATCTCAGGATTAGAATGGAGTTTGAATGTGTAACATCTAAGTTACCTTTCACACGTTGTTGTTGCTCATAACAGTTCCAAATCTTACTGTTGGCCTGCCACCAGCTGTACAGCAAGAAGGTATAAATAGGTTAAATATGTTGACAGCATGTGACCACTGACCTGAGGTCATTTTTTTATGAACCTATTCATGGTAATGGTAGTGTAAGGGATAAGGTAACATGATCGTGTTTGGTGGTTGCACCTTTACGTCATCTGTGCTTGTGTGCAATCTAGAGCAAGAAGAGATGGATATGCTAACTTGTTGATGTATTTTCTGTATATTGTTTGACTGCATGGGTGTATTTGTTTGTTTGTTGCTGTGTGTGCTTGTATGTGTATCACCTTATTTTGGTTACCATATATGAAAGGTGACACTGTGAAGTCAGAAGTCCCTATCTTGGTCTGCATGCTCTGGCTTGCATGCAGCAAATTACTTTTCAAAGCTGTTATGGCTGAGGCTAACAGCTCAGGCCACTGAAGTCTGATATGTGATCAGGCAGGCAAGATAAGTACTTTGTAGTGTCTGACACTTTGTGTCTGCTTACAATGTCTAACATAACACATATCTTACATACAGCTAAAAATACTTTGATTTCTGTCATGTCATATGTAGTGTATAGGTGTGGACTTTGAGCATCCTCTTAGCAAAATAAAAAGTCTACCAGAAATACTTAACTGTTACACTAGGGAAGTTGTGCTGAGTTGCTGTACAAATGTTGTGCTAATCTGCAGCAGTCAGCAAAATGTCTTTTAAAGGAGTGTCATCAATCTGAATGTGAAGGCGAATTCCAAGAGCTACAATCAATTATTAAAGCCTGTTCAATACAGGAAGCGAAGCCTGAGGCAGTAGCAGAGTGAGCACCTGACACGTTAAGCACAACACTAACATATAACTAATGTGTTTGGATAAAGCCTGTCATTTATTTACTCAAGCGAGCTATGACATTCAACGACAAGTAAAAACTGTTAAAGCCTGTTGTGCTTGAGGCTAACTATTGTGGTTACTATAGTGACTACTGTGCAGTTTTAAATTACTTACCATTGTTAGTAAACAGTCAGACAGTGAAATGATTTATGTCAGTCTGCAATTACACTGGTAGTCAACTACTTGCAGTGCTTCCGTTAATCAGTCGTAGAAGTCCTGATTGCTACATCCCTCGTGGTCTTAATTTGCAGCATAGCACAGATGTCTGTTTCCTGTGTGTGTCGTTTAATAAAGGAAGAAGGTGTACAAGACACATCGCAAAGTTGAGGTTCCTGCATTAGGAGTACAACTCTGGCAGTGGAAAGGGACTGAGAATAGCTGGAGAAATGGCACTGGAAAGGATTTAGTGAACGACCTCATCCTCTCTTTAATGTGGAAATATCAGGATTTATAGTGGTAGAGCTGCTGGAGCCGGTAAAGAGTTCTGGTTTTCCTAAACCCAAATGTTGGAACTAATACTTGGTAACATAACACAAAATATATTATTCTTAATATACAGTATGAGAACCTTACATGTCCTGTACAAATATTAAAGGCAGGCGCTAGGGTTAGCGTCCTCACAACTGCCAACTTTCTCAGCTCTTTTTTTTTTTTTTTTTTTTTTGCTGCCTTTTCTGCTCTATGCATTAAGTGATTGATTTCATGTTGGTGGTGCCATGTAGAGGCCCCCAGACCAGATGAATTTCTGGCTATATCCCTGCTGCCTGCACCACAAACCACAGCCTGCACCACCCACTGGTCACTGCTTACATTGTTGAGATTCTCATGCCTCTGTCGGACTCGTTTGTTTAGTTTTGTCAGGATCCCTGTCAGACCAGACACCTCCCATGGCCACACAGCTGCAGCCACTCCAGCCGATTACCTCCTGCAGGCTGACACACCAGACTCAGGTCCCACTAACGCTTCCCCTGGCACTATATAAACTCTGGTCCTGCAGTCTGGGGTTGGCAGGTCGTACCGTCTTTCACCCGCTTCAACCCCGTTGCATCTTCGGCCTCGAGCGCCTGCCTCCGGTGTCCGTCGGTCCGGGAATCCCCCGTGCCCTCCGTGGTGTTTACGGACTACTCACTGCCGCTCTGCCCTCTGTTGTGTTAACGGACTACACACGTCGTCAAGCTACCAGCCCTCCGGTGTCGAGCCACGGGACTCACACCGTCGATCTGCCTACTCTCTGGTGTCGGACCACGGGCTCCACACCTTCCTGTCTTCCTTACTCTGGCTAAATAAAGTCTGTTTCACTGTACTCTGTCTCCTGTGGTCTTGCTATTGGGTCCTAACCGTGAACTCCCGTGACAAGTTTGGGTGTCGCTCAAGCTGCATGAAGAGTGTACACCCACATGTGCAGAAAATCCAAACAGACAATGTAAAAGGTATGCGTTACATCAGGAGAGCAGCTTTGAAAGTGGGTTCACAGTGGACTTGGAGCACTAAATTATTGCATGATTTAGTTGTACTTAGTGTATTGAAACAGTGTATTTAATTCTTACTATATGTGGAATGCCACCACACTTAACAAGCCAATCACTGATGCTGACAGAAGAAATTGCTGTCTGTCCAGCGTTGTGGGCGTGTGGAAAAGACCAGTGGCCAGGATGAGAGGGAAGACCCATGTTGTGTCGCGTGTATTGAGGGGCCCGTGAACACATACGTGAAGGTGGATTATTATTTCCTGGCCTCCATACTGAACCTGCTGCCTGAGATGAGTTGGCTGTTAAAAGTTCAACACGGCCTTTCAAATTGTGACATGCATTTGTGTGTAAGTAGATGTCGGTGTGTGTGTGTGTTTGACCTTTTGAAGCAGTGTGCCGAGGTGAGGACCCAGCAGGTGTTAATGAGAGTCGCTCCACACACCAACCTCCCGTCTCCTCGAGATCCTCGCAAACGAACCGCCGCCTGCCATGGCCAGCCGCCCCTACAAACATGAGCACAAAGCCAGACACGCACACAAACACACAAGGAATTATAAAAGTGCACAAATATACTATAAAGTAGTATGTACTGAAAAGTCAGCGTGTGGTTACTGAACCGTGATTGATAAAAACAGAGCCTGAAACAGGTATAGCCAGCAGGAATTCTATCCAAACATGATTTGTGATTTTTTTTGTGGAGGACACTAAACATTAGCATACCTGGCAGGCAGACAGAGTTTACATGCAGCTTCGTGTAGTGTAAGGATGCAGGATGTCATCTAAACATGCACACACACAAACACATAAATGTGACCGCACACACTCAGTTGCATACAAATACGCATAAATGTTGCTTTTCTCTCTGTTGATCCCAACCTCTTTCCGTCTCTCTCTCTATCTCTTTCTTACACACAACATAAACACACACACAAAGCAAAACAGAGAAAGTCATAACCATGGGATTTTCTTGTTCAATTCCAGCGAGTTTTTCTGGATTGGCCATGTACGCCTGTTTCTCTTTTATCTAAATTATTTTGGTCACTCACTCACTTCCCACGCTTCCACTTAGCCACATATAGTTTGTTTTTGGAAGTACATACAATTGGATAGACCATTGCCTGTGGCTTCAGATCAGCTGTCTTCCATCTCAGACCTGTTGACTTGAAAATGTGTCCAATTTTCTTTTTCTATATGTCTCTGGCAGGCGTCCTCTGTGCTGTCATTAATCCCTAATGTCCCTTCCAGCCAGCTTACCTCAGAGAGTTTTCTCCTCCTATGATTCGGCGCTGGCGAGTGTGTATGAGCCGCAAACCACAAATTGAGTTGACAGGATCTGACAGAGACAAAAGAGGAACCATTGGGTGTGCGTATATGTGAGAGTGTGTGGGAGGGTGATGATTGTTAAACCATACATTTGCGCTCAGATGTTGCTCTTATTAAATATTTAGATTACATTTTTCAAATCTTTCACGACATGTGAACCTGAAATAAAGTAAATTAAATAAATGGGGGATCATTTTCATAGTCTGTGTGTAGAAGATGTAATTCATAATACTGAAGAGACAAAACACCCTCCTGCACTGGTTTGACTTTCCGCAGTATGTGCCTGTGAGAAAGGGAAGTAATAGCATATGTGCAGGTAATGGATAGCATTGTGCGAGTCTGCCCTGATGTGTGACAGACAGGGTGAAGCAATAACATTGCTCTCTCCATTTTACCATCTGGTTACTCACAAACTGAAGTGCTGCCCGCTTTCCTCTCAGAATCTTACCTCCTGGCTTTTCTTTATTTGTTTCTCATTCATTTCTCAGTGTATATAAGATAACTGAAATGTTTGCTAAACACACTAGTCTCATGCGTGATCAATGCACACTCATATGCTCCAAATCAATCACAAGAGCTACATTTATTATTATAAAAACAGACCTGACTGACCTTTGAGCTCTTTGTAGCTGGGTTGCGATTCACCATAGTCACAGATGACCCCGGCGTCCTCACTATGGCGACAGTTGTGTGTGCCGGGTGCCTGTTTGATGCAATCTGCTAACGAACGCTCCTCGCCGCTGCACTTCACATTGTCCACGTGGATGGGCCCTGTCCCTTCCCCGAAGTAAGCCATCACACGGGCCTTTGCCACACCACTGTGGAGGATGGACAGGACCCAGAAAACACAGACATTTCATTGCCATTGCCGTATACATTCTGTTAAACTGGAAGACTATTAGAACTGCCGAAAAAATACTTCATCTTAAGGCTGGAGACAAAAAAAAACAGCAAAATTAGTCTCAGAATAAAAGCATTTCAAATCAAAAGACAGGATTTCAACAGATTCAAAAGCAGCAAAACAAAATTAAAATCAACAAAAGGGCAAGTCTTGAAAAGCTTTTTTTTTTTTTTTTACAATTCAAGCTTAGCTCTTAGAACATCTAGTTCATCATATATTTTTGGTTTTGTTGATTTGATTTTTAAAAAATGTTTGAAGTGAATATAACTCTTACATTTTTTTAATAATTTAATTCTGTGTATCTTTCCACATTACCTATAATCGTGTCACAAACACTGAAAAGTTGAATGCTTGCCTGACACTTCCTTCTCTCTGCATGTGTAAGCATATAGGTGATGACATCTTAGTATAGATGTTATGGTTTGACATTCTCTGGCTGTGACGCAAACCAGGTCAAACCACTTTCACAATCTGATAACAACAGTATTTCTGTCACTTTCTCACCTCTGACCTTAATTAGCAAACAGCTAACACACGAGACTGTAGGTCGAGATGTGCCTGTATAGGATGTAACTGTGATTTTAATTAAGATTGATAGATAACTGACTCAGAGGATCTCATGTTGCGTCCCTGGGGTGGCAGGTCTTGTATCCCCACTCATCCAAAGGGAATCTCATGTCACTTATTGAGACATCTAGCATTGTGTCTGTGTCTCCAATGGCTCCCCGAGCAGTACTTAGCATGCAAAGCACGAACCTCCAAGTCACTTGGAGCTAAGCCGAGAGCCTGACATCAAGCCTGCTTGGTGTGTTTCTGTGGCAACACACAGTAACACAACATGAGTCAAAAATGCAACACAAGCTGTTTTGGATACTAAATGCTCAACTTAGAACGGAAAGCCAAGTATTTTCTTTCTCATCATATTTCATGTACTGTCCATGTACCATGAATTATCTTCACAATATATATCCTGACTTGGCTGCATTTTTGTTGGATCAGTTTTAAATGTTGAAAGGAATAAAATATGCAGCCAAGGTGACTTGGATGCATCATGAGTTGCAGGTAACAGGCACTTAATGCAGTTTGGACAAACTTCAAACAAGTCTTCAATCTAAGAAATCCCTCTTACTGTTCCTTTGTTCTCACATGGTTGTCACAATCTGGCTCTATGCCCTCTGAGTTTTTGTGAAGACTGGACTGTGCTGCATCTTTAGAAAATGCAGTATCTAGAGAATTTTGTGTTCAAGGTTTTTAGGTCTTCTGTTTGTTGTTTTGTCCATGTTATTAGGCTCGTTCAAGATGAGCCAGTCCTGCACAGAATCGATCACCGGCGATCACCGCACAATGCATGCCGGTTAGATTTGTGTCCGACTTGATCCTGACTTGCTCTGACGTCATGAGCAAGTGGCCAACGATAACCTCAGTTTTTACAGCCAGGCGCCGCGGTTGCTCTCCACCAACTGCATGACAATCCCATAGAAAATCCTATTTTTCTGTGTAATTGTAATACTTAACGCTAGATTGTTAGTTATTCTCATGTTCTCATAGTCTCATGCTGTGCGACAAAGGTTTAATCTAAAAACATGTCTTGTGTGATTGGAAATAATAAAGCTTATTTATACAACACATACTAAAACAAGCAGCAAAGTGTTTCGCGGGCACACATACCAAAAGATAGCAAACAATGCCAGTTACACGCACATTTCCATATAAATATACAGTATATTTACAAACACAAATAAATCCGAATGAGGTCTTCAAACTACAAGTAGCTTACAGATCGGATCTAACAGAATGTAACTTTGACTTCCTGTGTATTCTTTAAAGGCAGCTAAAAACTGACTTGACCGCAGTTTTTTCTCAACGCTCCCTGCTGCTGCCGCCTAATCTCATCCACTTTCCAGGTGAGGTGCAGTTCATCTCAAACGAGCCTATTTATACATGTTTAGAGGTTCCTGTTATATTTTGATATGCTAACATCTCCTTTCGTTTCAGTTCATGCACTCATACCTTTCCCGCCTCCTTGATTATCCTCACCTGGCCTCAATTACTCACCTGCCCCTGATTTTGCCGTTGGTCTACACCTTTATATACTCCCTTGTTTTCCCTGTCCCCCGGCCAGATTGTCTTTGTTCTACTCTGTGTGATCATTGCTTTGGATTTTGCCTATTGTTTACTCTCTTGGACTGTTGACCTCTATATGACCACCTGCTGTTTGGAACGGATCTAGCCTTTTTGATCATACCTTGTATCCTGTGTCGTACATTCGCGTTTTTGCCTTTTGCCACACTTGCAGAAATACAACATCAATGCCTGAAGCTAGACAAACAAGCTCCCTTTGCTTTCAAGTCAGTTACTGTTTTCAGATTATTGGTACAAAGAGCGTTTCAATCCACATTATAGGCTTTTAAACCACTAGCAAATTAAATTGTTGCCAAAATACAATTTCAAAAATGTTTCATGTGCATGTTGTCCAGTTTAATGTAGGTTCTTATTCAAGGTGACTCTGGGTCACACTGTTGTCTTTGAATATAATTTTTATGTGAAAGTGTGTGTGTGTGTATTTTTGTTTTATCACCCTTAGAGCAACCTCTAACCCTTGGGGACCTGCTGAGTATGTAACGACCTTTCACCACACCCTGTGTGAGACTGGATGATGATCCTTACAGGGCTTTTACACGGCTCCAACACACTTCCCCTCTCTCACGCTTATGTGGTCCAGATGTGGCTTTCACTTACACAGAGATGTGTCACAGAAAATTGGGTGGCTAAAGTCAAATTCACGCTACATGACTTTCAAAGTAGTCAGATCGCTGTACTGCTCACACTATACAACTTGTCTTTTAATCGTGAGTTTTAAAGTTGTGGTTTTCACACTACATGACTGACTTTCGACAGTGGGGGTCACACGCTACAAGATCCTTCATCTGGAATCCTGATGAGGTCTCCAAGCTAGTTGTCACAAAATCAGGTGCAAGTAGTGACACGGGCATAGCCTTGTCATGCTTATCGATGTTGCCGTCGGCACACGTGTTCACATAATAGCCTGTTTCCACACAACTCTACTATTTCCCCTATGTGGATCAGTCACTGTGTTATATTTATTCATGCAAACATCCAACACAACTAGGTACAATAACAACAACTTTGATTTGACACAGGTGAGGCGACCACTCCGCCAGGTTTTCCCTCAACCTATGCCTTGCACTCTCATTGGCTGTAGCTCCTGGACAGATCCAGATATTTAGCATGCTAGATATCTGGAAATGCGTCTGCGATGCACCCACGAGCCGTTAGAACAGTTCACAAGTATCGCTCGAGGGCCAAGACAACGTGGATTTCCCTCTGATCTGGGGCTTTTGTCTGGGAATTCCAAAGACGGAAAGTCAGGGTCAAAGTTGTGTAGTGTGAACGAAGCATGAGGGAGGAGTGTCCCATGCAGAGCAGTGATAAGAGAGAAAATAAAGACAGTTTGTTACAGTACAGTTGTCCCTTGCCATCCCATTGCCAATGTTTTGGAAATCTGGACAGTGTCTCAGCGAGAAGAGATAATGGGACGCGAGAGAATAAGATGAGGTAGTTGGCTTTCCCTCAAAATATCTTGTCACTGTGAATGAGTCATATGCACAATTAGCCTGCCCTTTAATTGGATGTTTATCTTGGCTCTGGAAAAGGGCACAGCTAAAACCCCTAATAAAAGCAGCTGGCAGCACACCAGCAGCTATAAGAAATGCTCAAAAACTTGAGCGCACAATTTGTACAGATTGATTAATAAAATACAGTCATCTTAAATGATTCAAAGCATACTTTATTTTGTCCATTGTAGGTCTGCTTGAAACTCGAGACGTGCGTGATGATGTGCAAACTGAAAACAGAAGGGTTGAGAGATGAAAGACGGACAGAGAAAGCGGGAGCAAGTGTATAAAACAAATGCCAAGTTTAGAAGTGGTGATTGATTTTGCAAACAGAGGCCGTCTGGATTCACTTAAGGAAGTGTAATGTATAGAGTGATCACATTGCAATGCCTCCAACATGTTACCTCTATTCCAACATCCGGACCACGACTGAAAATAAAATGATCAGCAGAAAATTGTCAACTGACTCAACTGTCAAAGTTAATTAACTTTTCATCATCACAGTTTTGAAGCAAAAAGCACTTTCTCAAAAGTGAATGTTTTCAGGTTTTCTCAGCCATCTATTGTAGTAAACTGAACATCTTTGGGTTATTGGGCATTTTCACTTTTTAGCTTGTCAGCCAAATGACAAATGGACCACGACAATCGATAAGGAAAATAATCATTGGATCCGTAAAATGCACCCATCTCTCGAAACTTATTGGTAATATTTCCTCCTCCTAACTGAACCTACATCTGTGAGCAATGTGCGGAAATACCCGCTTTTAACAACTCTGTCTGCCCATATGGCATTCTTTTTGCTTATGCATGCAAATCAGTGTGCAAGTTGTACATATACATACCTGTATCCTAACTGTCGGCAAACCACCTCGGCGTCACGATCAGTCCATCCGTCATCACACACAGTCCCCCATTGTCCAGACAGATAGAGCTCCACTCTGCCTTCCCTAGGGCTCTCTCCTCCCACAAGTCTCACCAGCACACCTGGAGAACACACATGTGCACAAACGCAATTTAGACAGACCACATAGACTCACGCTGCTGGCACAGGTTTATTTTTGTTCTCTGATGTTACCCAAAACCCCTGAGTCTAGAAATACTCAAAGACATTACACACATACTCTCCCAAAAAATCCTCCAGGCTAGCAAGTCTAGTGAATGGGGCATGTGTGCTCATGTTCCCTAGAAAGGAAGTAGCTTGAACACCTGTCTGTTTTCATGCACATAACCACTTTTGTTTTTAGACTCCTGTCGCTATGAAAAGATGTATTGCCTCTCTGTTTTTCACACTCTCCCTTTCTTGTTCTTTCTCTCTCAAATGGTATTCACTCACACTGTTAATCAAATAAGTCTGGGCTTAAGGTTTAAACCATCCATCCTCATTTGTCTGCCCACACATGCACACACTAATCACATTTACGTGAATGCCGATGTCTTTTCCATGCGTGGATAATTTCAGGATCAGTTTACACTCTTGCCAAGTGTTTGGAATTGTATGCTGTGATGTATAAAGTTGGTTGTTGTGTTTTGAAGCTCAAACATTGTATTGCACTGTGTGGAGTTGAATGGCATGTCACATTCAAACATTTTGTGTGTGGCACATAACAATTTGTAAGAGGGGGAAATTGTGGGAATGTTTACCTCTTTGTTGGTGTTTGCTATTGAGGAAATGCTCATCTTTGTCCCTCTCAGTACACAAGTCACGCACACACACACACACACACACACACACGTTAAATTGCTGCTCTGATACAACCCTAATGTGATGGTCCCCCACACCAGACTGTGTGTGTGTGTGTGTGTGTGTGTGTGTGTGTGTGTGTGTGTGTGTGAGAGAGAGAGAGGGAGAGTTCAAAGCAAAGCCTGGCTTATCTGCTTTGTCTCCTTTTCCAAAAACAACATAAACCAATCTGCCTGTAGCATGTTGAGCAGGAAAGAGGGATTTGTGTACACACAAACACTCAAACAAATGCACACAAACACACACACGAATGCTATGTAGTAATGACACACGTTCTTTAGAGGGTGTTTGTGGAGCGAGAGTGTCCCTCAGACTCTTCTTCAAAAACATAAGCTACTTAAACCCAACTTATCATCACTGAAAGAAAACATGATGTATCCTTTCTGTGACATTCACCAGACTTATCAGACTCATATCTATTAGATTCAACATTATATAACGTTATATACAGTATGAGGTAAAATCTCAGCCACTACTGGTTCCATCCAGCTATGCTCACATATCTTTATTGGTGTCTGAAGGCTATAGAAATAGGCTGGATTAATGGTGCTACCATTCAACCCTCTCCCCTTCTTTCAGCAAGTAGTAACACCACTGAACCCTTCTGTCTCTTCTTATAAAGAAGTAAAAGGTGCAGAGTTATGTGTGTCTGGCAACACATCACCCCACTGGTGCCTGATAGTTATGGTCTTGCAGTTGGGAATAGTGGCATGAGGGAGACTTACTTTAGGTATAGGTTTGCAGTAGGTCCATTTAATCATGACGACTTTACAAGAGTCCCAGTAATAAAGGCAGGACAAGCCAACAAACAGCTGTGCCTATTAGAGTTATGACTTACATCATCATCTATATGTCTGTTGGAGAATGTTGGCTTTACTCATCTAAGTAAGATGAGATCAAATTGACTGCAGGTTGAGTTTGGCAGAGATCTCAGGAACAGATTTCAGACCAGCTTGCACTTCCATTACCGGGTTTTATGAAGTGAAGGAAATTACATGGAGGCTTTCATCATTTGGTTTCCTGTTCTTCACTGCCTTTAAAGTATGAGTGCTATTAGTGCAAAGTTTGTCTTCTACAGTGCTTCTTTTATGCTACCCCTATTACTGATAACAAACTGTTTTTATTCTCCACCTAGGAACCACTAAAAAGGAAGAACCAGAAGAGCTCAGCAAAAAGGGGAGTAAAGGTCAGTAGTCTGGAGCTTACCACATATGAGCTATAAAAGTGATGAAAATATTCATTAAAATCTGGAGACTCCAAACACACGGGTAACCAGTGCAGAGATTCTAAAATAGTGATTTATAGTCTCCAACTGGATCTCAAAAAGGAAATGGGCTGCGGCATCCTCGAGTAATAACTTTACTTTAAAAGTTGACATTGCGTATATAAAGAGAATTTAAATAATGCTGGTTAAATAGATAGAATCTTTCCTTTTTGAATCTCAGGGAAACAGGACTGAAGAGAGAGTTGTACTATTGTTAATACAAGGGATGATGATATTAGAAAACAGTAAAACAAGAGTAGGGGAGATTCTATATCTGGACCAATGATGATGAATTCGGATTTAACAAAAAGAGGTTTTCAGACATCAAAAAGTTCAATCTCTTTTTATGTACATTGCGGTTGCTGCAATAGAAAGAGGAGAGAAACAGGTTCAGGACTGAACCCTGAGGCACTCCGATTTCAAAGAGGATTGATGAATTGTATTCAACAATGGCAACATAAAATCAAATGATCGACAATATCAAAAGCCTTAATATGGACTAAAATATGCAAAGTTACGAGTGGCGTTTCTGTGTCAGGATCAACTCTCAAAGCAGAATGGGATTTTTGAGAAAGACAATTACCATATTCAAAAAGCCCACTCTTTGTCTTTCAAAGTCCAAAAACTGTGACACATATGCACATACAATATATGTATCAGTATCTAATTACATACATGAGCAACATTTTAAAGTTCATAATGAGCCTCTCTCGCCCATTCATGGTTTCTATGCTATCTGCAACCATTTAAGGTCTTATTGTAAGATAAGATTCAATCTTACTCGTTGGAAGACTCTCTCCCATGCGATCAGGGGTGCATGCGATGTTAACATCTTCATGGTGTGTGCAGTCATGACGGAGCCACTCCTTCCTGTTGCACAGCAGTAGGCTAGGCTCTTTCCCTGTGCAGCTCACGTCATCCAGGAGAATGGGACCTGACCCCACCCCAAAGCGTGGGACTGGTGTGATGTCTAGTCCGTCGGAGAGGAGAGTCTCACCTAATCTGAAAGGTAGACATGTACACACACAAACTCACATATTGTTTTCTTATTAAAAGTTAATATAATATTATTTGTAAGCGCATGAATTCTTCACATTACCTGTAACCAAGTTGTCGACACACGACGTGTGTGTTAGTGTCTGTCCAGCCATCATCACACACGGTTCCCCAGTGACCACGGTAAAATACTTCTAGACGTCCCTCGTAGCTGCTTGTGCCCCCTACCAACCTAACGGAACCATCTGGAGATGAAGACAGAGTCGGGCAGAGAGTGAGTCACTAATGAGGATACATTTGAAAATGTATATATTTTTTCCTGGCCTTCCATCCGCGTGTAGCTTTTAAAAAAAATCTTAAATAGATTGAATTATTGATCGCAATATTGCAACAAAATGCTGCAATTCCTAATAAAACACTATGCAGTCATTTCTGGCTGCAAAGCTCTGGGAGATCGTAATCTGACTTAAAAGCCAGTGTCTGTAGCCAGGATTCAGTTCTTTAGACTTCTACCTTCAAACATTGGTCACCTGGCAACACACCGGACTCCTAATCCTCTACTTGTAAGTGGTGAAAGCACACAGATGGGCAATAGTCAACCTTCATATTTCAAGGTCTATCCACCATGAGCTCTCCTGAAAGCACCTCTCCAATGCCTTTCCCCTTGCACCCTTCTCTTGGGGGTCTTTGATTTGTTTGTCTCTCCTGAGACCAATTGCCATACCTTTTTCAAAGAGAACATTTTGACTAGTCATAACAGGAAAGGCACAGGAGTAACTAATAACTTAAATGATTGCTCTCTTCAGTTTAGGCACCAGAAATGGAAAGCAACCATTATTAATGCAATCAGTTACACCTGTGTTTGACAAGTCAAAATCTCTGTTGGCTCCAGGAACACAGCTTCAGGGGTCATGGGTACATGCAAACCCTTTTGCTACAATATGGTGTGAATTTCTGGAGGGGTTTCCATGTCTATGTATGTGAAAGATAAAAATGTGAATGTTATGGATTGCTTATACCAAATCAGGCTCTTGTTCTACCTGTAAGAGGGTTACAGGACACTCCTGCATCTTCAGAGTGCAGACAGTTGTGTTCCCCCCAGGCACTTTTTGGACACTGCTCCAGAGTGAGCTCATTGCCTGTGCAACGCACCTCGTCCAGCCACACACGGCCTGAACCCTTGCCAAAATGTGCCTGGCCCCATGCCCTTGCCACACCGCTACAAAGAACAGAGAAGGTACAGAAGAAAGGTTTGGTTTACAGAAATAGTGATACAATGAAAAAAAAGATGCAATGACTGGCTTACAAGTTGTTTACAACATGTTTAGTCTGGATATTGAATGGAATGAACCTATTGTATTTCAAATAAACTTTTGGAAAATTGCTTGATATGCATATATGAGAATACATAGACATTGCAACACCAACACCACAGTGGCATACACACAAAATGCACACGCGAACATTTGCGGAGAGTGTAGTGTTGCTAAATATGCATATCTCTGTGGTACCAGAATTCATGCAGGAACAATGAGCCTGATTCATTATCTGACCCCCAGATGTTCTTTACTGCTCGCTCCTCTCTCTGTGTGTGTCCGAATGGAAAGAATACTTCTCATACTTTTGGAGACAGAGGGAAAGACACACGGCTGGACACCCACATTAACTCATCTAAGCTTCTATCTTCACACTTGTTCCTCGTTTTCTCATACTCACAATGTATTTAATTTATGCTAACAACTAGATGGAATGAATCTCATTATGAACATTAATATGTGTGTGTATGTGTGTGTGTGCCCCTTCACCTCAGCCCCAACTGTCGACACACTACTTCTGCATCACTGTCGTCCCATTGGTCATCACATATGGAACCCCATTGCCCCGCATGGAAGACCTCCACTGCGCCCTCTGACCCTGATCGACCACCCACCAGCCGTATAGGGAGCACCACTACCGCTGAAACCAAGCATGAATACACACATTATCACATATGGAATGACCACTATTTGATGGACAGAGCATTAATATAGCAGCAAACAACTATTTGCTGGGATGGCCGCACGTGCATGTTAGTGCATATGAGCGTGCCCACAGGGCTGATATGGCGAGTACAGTTAATAACGCCGTCCCGACCCATGGTGCCGTTGCGGTCCCCCCCCCCCCAGGTCTAGCATCTGTCCACTTCACATACATCAACAGATTTGGTGTATCTCCACATCGCCACGTTAAGAGCCGTTGATTCCCTATGAGGAGTGTGTACCTTGCTGCTGTATGCAAGTGATGGCTGCAGCCTGAGGACATTCCCCTCCATTCCAAGTAGTCTTAGGACACTGGAGCAGGTCTGGCTCCTCTCCCTGGCAATGGACTGCCCTCCAATGGAGCTTGGCCATGCTTGGCCGAAACAGGGGAACTTCACGTGCACGACCTGAGATCCTGGAATGGGATCGATAAGCAAACAATTTACTTTTACTAATTTAAATTAAATTTAAATTTTTGGACAGTTATGCTTTCTTGGATAGTGTTAGCTTGGAGAGAACCAGGAAAGGCAGGGTGAAAGAGTGGGATGACATGCAGCAAAGGGCTCCGGCTGGAATCAAAGCCTTAATGAATGTTGCATGTGCGCTGTACCAGGTGAGCTACAGAAACACTTTTTTTCCCTCCAGTCTCATCTAATAACATTTTTCAGGATAGATGCAACCTCAGTAGAGTTGACACTTTTTTTTTCATATCATCTGAGATAAATCCTGCAGCTAGGCAAAAAGGAGGACCATCTCAGAGGAAAAAGTACAGCAGTCGTTAACATATGGTAGTAGTAACCTTCAGCCGTCTGTATGTTCATGATCTGCCATTCCAGGGCCAATGCGGTCAGACGTTTTACACCCAACAGCTTCAATAACTGGCGGCGTGAAAATCATCACCAACCATTCCAGCTGACATATGTCTGACATTTGCCCTCTTTCCTTTCCGCTGAGGACTTGTATTGACTCCTGTGTGAATATGCACACAGCGGCATGTGTTCCTGTCAGCATGCGTGCCAGCGCTGGCGTGTTAACATGTGTAGCATGTTAACAGAACGGCTCTGTTCTCCAGGGTAGTAAGACGCTCCCCAGCTTATGAACACCGTCGATATGTATGATCTGTCTTCAGGCTCCCTTGAGATGCTGCAAATCAATTGGTCCTCTACCATTAAAGCATCTCAAAATTCAAGACCATGAGACACAGTCGTAGAGAGAGACAGAGACAAAGAGAGAGCTGGTAACAAGGTAAATAGCTGAGCAGTGAAAGTGATTTAAATACCTCTGGGGAATGGGGGGGGGGGGGCTTGGAATGCAAGGGTCACACAAGAAAAGTACAAAGACTGTGGAGAGAGTGCATGCATATGTATGTCTGCGTTGTAAGTATTGTTAAATTCTCTTAAATTCCCACCAAAATTCCATCACACTCTAACCATATGTCAGACCTCTGTGGGCTGCTTCACATTGTGAATTCATATGACAGATGGGGATTGTACTTGCACCTGTGTCTGAATACGTATGTAGAAGCAAGAGGCAGACAGAGAGCGGCAAATATTGCACGTCTGAGCGCATGTGTATGCATGTGTGCTCTCTCACCCCTTGCCCAGCTGTCTGCAAACCACTGCAGCATCTTCGTCCCCCCAGTCATCGCTACAGACAGACCCCCATACTCCTCCCAGATAGACTTCCACCCTGCCATCAAGCTTGGAGCGGCCTCCTTGCAGACGCACAGAGCCTGGGTATGGAAAGAGGGTTGGAGAACAGCAGATGTTTAATAATACAGCACATAATAAAATGGGGGATAAAAGATGACACGAAAGAGATGTGTCACACCACATGACAAGATATAGGCAGGGTGTCAGAGAGAGTAAAGTAGCAGGATGAAATGAGATGACAGGAGAGCACATTTACAGGGGTAGAACTGTCTTATAAATGAAGCAGTGAATCAGTCTGTGTCAAAACAGCTGCATATAGAAGTTCTCATTGCACTTCAGATTATGACATCCAAAGAAAAAACAGTTCCTGTGTGTCAGCACATCACAACTACTTTATAAAAAGATGAAAAAACAAGACGTGCTTCTGGTTGTCTTTTTCATTTTCACAGCAAGTGACATATTTAGCTATCCACTCAGCATATTTTTCTTTCCCCAGAGAATAAAGGGGATTTCCTCCGTGTGTGGCCCCATAGGCCTACCTTGCTGTCATACAATTGAAGATATCACTTTTAGCCACGTCCTATTCAGGATTTGGAATTGAATGTGTCAAGAAGTTTCCACATAAAATAGATGGATACAGTGTGTGTTTATTGTTGGAGTAACAAGTTTGTTTTGTGTCTATCTATTTGATACATTTGGGAAGAGTTATTATGGCAACATATAATGTAAGGGTGCATGCTCTCTATCTCACACATTTACACACACACACACACACACACACACACACACACATACTGTATATACAGGTATGTGCCTGCCTGTTACTGCCATCAGCATATCTGAACTTAAATCAGAGACATCTGGTGTGTGGCTGTATATCATTTCGGTAAAAGGTCATAGACACAAAATTAACAGAATTCAGACTTCAAATTTGGCCAGCCCTTCTAAAGGCTTGTAATTGTCCAAACATCTGTAATAACTGGATCAAGGAATGACAATTCCATGTTTCAATCACCAGGAGATAATTCACCCATGCTTTGCCCGACACTAAAAATACCACAGGCTGCTTGTCTTGTGCCAGATGAAAATCACACACTCTATTCCTCTCACCACTCTTGTTCTCTCTCTACGTTTCTACCTTTCATCAATCCAGAGATGTAGGGGCCATCCTTTGCCATCACTTTTCATTTTAGCAACACTTAGCAGTGCAAGCCTGCGTGCTTGACAGGTATTGATAGTGTGGTGTTCCCATGGCAAACTATTTAGAAGAGAGATTTTTATTGAGCTTATTCACTTTATTCTCTTACACCTGGGATCCATTAGACTGTGTTATTCCCACACCAGCAAATACCTGTGCACTCATTACAGCACAAATGTGCTCAGACATGTCATCTGCATACAGCCGCTCACACCTGGGACTCTTTAGGTGTGTCTTGTCTAATTATTTAAGCTTGGGCTTCCTGAGTTTAACACCAGTGGAGCTAGAACATTTGTTAAGACAGTCGCAGACCAAACACAAAACAACTGCACAGTTATCTGCTATTCATCAGCCCCACAAAAATGATTTAGTATATAGCAAATTACAGGGGCTTGTTTGGGTCGGGTCATTTCAGTTCCTGTTTGTCTAGTTCAAACTGTTTTCGACATATTTCTACAGAAGAGCATGAAAAGCAACACAACACACTCGCCTATTGCTGTGTGAGTATAGGCCTGCGTGTTTACCTTGTTTACAGTCGCAGTACCCCCAGTCCACTCTGCCTTTGTGGTTCCTGAAAAAGCACCAGGGTCGAATCCTGCCGTCCGGGTTGCGACAGTGATTGTGCTCCCCTATTCCTTTGCCCGGGTTGCGTTCCCTGAAGCCGTCCACTTCTGTCCAGTTCATGCACCGGGTGCCGGACTCGGTGACGTCTATCGCTCCCTGGTAGAAACCGCCTTTCCCACGGCTCTGGACGCAGTCAGTGAACGGCAGGATGAATGAAGGGACGCTACTGGAATAACAGAAGCCACTATTCGCAGCAAAAAGCGCGGCTGTTAGAGCAATAAATGCCGCGTTCATGTTTGGTCTCTGGTTGTATAGGCAGCTTAGAACGATGCTTCAATCAGCAGCAGCCTCTATCATCATCTGAGGAGACGATTTTTAGTCAGCCTCATCGCCCTACCGTGGGACGAGAGTGAACCGGGAAAGGAGAAACGACGCGGATCAATGAAACTCCTATTTGCGTGGGCTACTGGGAAATCAGCCCTCCAACCGAAATCCAATATTCGGAGTAATTGCCCCCCCCCCATATTGCGATTTACACAATTACATTATGGCTATTTTATGAAAAATAATCCTATATTGAATCAAAGTAATGATATGGTTTCTAGAGCAAATTTGCAGAGTAGAGGGGGCTCCATCCTATATAATGTGATATTTAGCCATACTGTAAGCAGTCAGTCGTATAGTCCTTATAATCCACTTAGAGCGCCCACAACTTTAAGAAATGCCTATTGTTGTGGCAACACGGCCATGGCCAAAACGCGTAGCCAGTTGTTTACTTGTTATTTTTGATGAGATCGATATGCTTTATGACTTTCTGAAGCTCATCGTCATTTTTAAGCAATATCATTCAACACGAACCTACAGTAGCCTACATTGAACCCAGTTATCATCCATCGACTCATATGGATCCATAACTAGGTGCAACTTAACAAACACAACTTTTAAAAGTATATTTGTAGCCACAACTACTGATATGATACAGTTTGGCGCAGGACAGTCGTGTATGGCGAATGTTTTTTTTGAATACACTCGCTCTATCCCTGTGTGGTTATGTTATGACCATGTCGATCACAGACAGACTGAAATGGACCACAGAGCGCCTCTAGTGACCGGTGTCTCCCTCATGGTATTATCTGATTGGAGGATGAATTTTGACACGTCAAACTAAAGCGTCCAATATGGTGACATCACCACGCCGCGTCCTTCAACCCCAGACGTATGCACTCGTAATTATGACCAGCGTACGCCGAAACTCACCCAGCTTGGCGGAGTCGACATTCGATAAACTGCTCCTTTCGCCTGTTGACCCATTCCAACCGGGCTGCCAAGATCGTTGCGGATGCAAAAAGCCCGTATACGTGATTGAGATTGCAACTATTGAGCAGGCGCAGCCGGGTGTCATAAGCATCTTTTTTTGCCGGCTAACTACATCTAAGACCCTAAATTGAACCCGAGCAACCCGGTGTTCATAACGAGCACACCCATTTTGATTTTTAGCGGCTATTAGACGTTAGCTGATTGTTGTCTAATGTTATAGATAACCAGCCGATTACATTTATATGAAAAACGTTGTTGTAACAACGACCACATGTACTAGATAGTTAGCATTATTAAGAAAACATTACAACTGAAGATATGAACAGTCGACTGCAAGAGATCCGCGAGCGACAAAAACTTAGGCGGCAGCTTTTAGCTCAACAGGCAAGTGGACAGTTAGCCTCTTGTTGTTAGCACGTAGCTAACTCGTTTTTCAAGTTAACCAGTTTACGTTAGCTAACTTAAGCTATATCTATTGACCATCTTTGGAGGTGCTAGATAACAAAATGTTGATGCTGGACTTTGTGGTGAATAATGGGCATAGTTCTGTGGCACACATGGGTGATCATATAGCTAGCTGAATATAACGTGTATCGAGTAAATCAACATGGTAAAGCTATCCGAGCAAATATAGCCAACAAAAATGACGCCATGTCAGTAAGAATGACGCTACAAGTGAGTTACTAAGAACATATACTGAGATCCATTTACAGTAACGTAATATGTAACATATGTGAGGTAAGATAGAGCTTTATTTCTGTTTGAATAGTTGAATCTAGCTATATAACAGCATTACAAAACAATGAGAAAGGAAACGTTGAGTACAACAACATTGAGTCCAACAATGCATAATACATTAAAGGAGACGATACCAGAATTTGAAAATATGTGACTTTAGACTGGCTTTCTCGTTCTTAACCACAGTTGGGAGCTGAAAGCGCAGACAGCATCGGAGCTGTCCTAAACAGTAAAGATGAACTGAAGGAGATTGAAGAGACAAGAGAAACATGCAGGTAAGATATGTAATACCCCCCAAAAAACACATTAAATATATTGATTCATTATTATACACACAGTTTCTTCTGCATATTAACAGACATGTCAGTGAAACATTTTGAATCACTTAAAGCTTCTCGCTCCCCTTATGAATCCCTAAGGTACCTCCTGATTAAAGGAGATATGTGGCTGTTGTGATGGAGGTTTTTTGGGGTTTAAAACTGTCAGTGCGTCATGACTGGGGGAGCTAATTACAGCGGGTGGCAGTAGGAAATGTGATAATCTATGATTGCCACAGCCTCTAATGCACCCACTTATAATAATGGCTTCTTTCTGATCTCTGTAATGGAGTTATCCTACCAAACACCTGAAAGTAGGGGGGACAAAAAGTCTCCAGTCACCCGAGCCCTCCCTGTCAGGATGCACCGACAGCTGGGGATTCCTGTAGAGTTTTCCATAAAGGAAACGTGTTGTTGTCTGGAACTTGGTACGCAAATAATTTTTTTACTTTTAGTTTTGAACCCAAACAATCTCCATCACATCATGTTGCTTATCACAGCCATACATCTACCTGTAGGCTATTATAAATGCAAATGTGGAGCTCCAGACATCATTTTGCGTAGCGAGAAGTTGTAGGTGATTCACAGTTATTTGTGGAGCTGTGTGAACTATTTTCAATGTGTCCGTCTCCACTGTGTGTAGAATATTTAATCAAAACGACACATACTTCAGCACTGAGGCTTCTGTGGTTATTTTTATGAAAATCTGATGCTGGTTGCATGAAATGCAATGAGTGGATCTGTCCTGTGTAATTGTTGCTTGACAGCACGCAGCATTATTCCAGTTAGAGACTGCAGCTGTGTGCTCTGTGCTGGCTCTATCTTGCGAGCACAAATTCACCAAAACTTGGGAACGCATGAGCTAAATTGACTTAATGGCATGAAGAAAAAAGAACGCTTGCTAAGCAGAGTAGCTGCCCAAGCCTTTTTGAGTTCTTTGTGCCATTTAGTCCTTGTGTATGTGCACATATTGAGTATGTTGAATTCACTCATTTCGCTACATTCACAACCTCGCTCTTTTCTTCTTCAACATATCGTTGTTAGCATTTGTCCATCTTGCTTGCCAGTTTTGTCTTGACATCCCCAGGACTAACATGTAAATGTTGTGCTTTAGTGAGATCACAGAATGTGGAAATGTGTTTGTGTTGTGTGTGTGCTCTGCAGGGCTTCATTTGACAGTTCAGCAGCACCCTCCAAAAGGAAGGCACAGGAGGGAGAGGACACAGAGGAAGATGTGGAAGAACAAAAGGTGAGAACTTTGAATTTACATGGGTTAAAGAAACCTCAAACCTTTTGTATGTACTGGTAATAACCTGACTGATGTATCATTTCTCTGAACAAATGTGATTTAAAGTATAAAAACAAAATTAGAAAGACAATAAAATCAAAATACATGAGGAAACAACCACAGCAGATAAAACAAAGAGTGTGTAATAAATAGAATGACAGAGGAGACAACTAAAATCAGGACAAGCTGTTGAGTAAATATGTATGGGGAATATTTTAAAAGAAGGCACAGACTGAACAAACTGCATCTTCTCAGGCAGTTTGTTCCTCAGGACACTGGAAACAGAGGTGTGGTCTTTTATCCGACCAGTGGGACAGTTCAGAGGGTCCCTGCCTGAGGATCTCAGACTATTCGCCAGCTCTATTGAAAGTAGTCTGGGCTACAGTAGTAGGCTGGGTGATATGGCCAACAACTTTAATCCCACTATAGGGGTTTTCATTTCTTGATTCATCATAATAATGCACAGTTTCTGGTAATTCAAAAAAATACATAGTCTACATGAAATAACCACATGGTAACCAGCAGTCCCAACTACTGATCAGAATGTAAAGGGACGTCCAAATGGTTACAATATCACCCTGACGCAGTTCAGCCTCTGGTATTTTGAACTCACGATAGAAAGATATAGTAGAATATGAACGATATACATTTTTAGATATTTTTGACAATATAGGTTGTGATACCGCCCAGCCCGAGTCGAGCTATGATTTGTTCTCAATTATTAGCTCCATTCGGCTTTGTCAGCTTGTAGCTGCAGGCGGTCGACGTAAATTTGGCCACCACCCAGAATTGCCTTTTCCCTTTCTTTTTATCCGAAAGAAGCTAATAATGTTTCAGTTGACTCGTTATGGGGCTTAGCATGTGGGATGAATCTAATGAAATATTTGAGCATAGTGTGAAATATTAGGTTCACCTCCGGATGACTTTGGGGTGAATATTTGACTTGTGCAGAATACAGGATTAACAATGTTCCTGCTTAGTCTTTGTTTTACAGCTGATTGATTTGAAAATAAGAATCTTAACTATTTTACCGTAAGCCCTTTAATAATGTATGTTTTCCCCTTTATTTACTATCCCAACATCTTTACTGGTTTTATTTGTTATTATGGGATAAATCACTTTATCATGAATGTGATTTCACTCATATTTTATGAATATTTATCAATATTTTTTCAGTTGTACTCATCGACCAACCACACGTCTCAAAAATATGAACCTCGTTGTGTTTTTATGTTTTAGGATGAGGTGGAGGTGCAGCAGCTGGATGAAAGCAACCCATATGAGGAAGTGTACAAGGACTCAAGTACTTTCCTTAAGGTTGGACTCCCTTTCTTTTATACACACAATGTCTCTTTTATGTCGTGTCTCACTAACTATGCTGTTGTAGCCTATCAAGCAGGTAGAAAGTAGCTACATTAGAAAATATCAACAGAAATAGTGCCTGTATATATATATATATATATATATATGTATAT